CCCAAGAAAGCCTGGCTTATTTGGCGGCAGAGTTCATCAGGCTTGGAATCTGGTGTGATGTCCCCCCCCCTTCCCCGAAATTTCCTAAGATCTCCAAAAGGAACATGCGACACCCCCAGGGCAGCCCCCAAACGATTGCGTGGGCCTCCAGAGATCACACAGATACTCCGACCAGCTCAGTCCAGAAACAAAACGCAGGCCCCTTTTGGTGGTCCATTTCCACAACCCTTTGGCCAAAGAAGTCAGGGCATTCATCGGTCACAGCTACTTTTTGGGTGAAGAAGTACTTCTTTTTATAGGCAGGATACAAATGCAAATAATAAATAAATAAATAATAAACCTTGTTGTTGTTCAGTCACACAGTCGAGTCCGACTCTTCGCGACCCCATGGACCAGATCACGCCAGGCCTGCCGGTCTTCCGCCATCCTCTGAAGTTTGCTCAACTTCATGTTCGTTGCATCTATAAAAAATAAACCTACTGCTCGTTAATTTCATTGAATGCCCACGAGTTCTTGCATTATGATACTGGCTGATTTGTTCTCAGTTCCCTTCCTAATAATCCCCAGCATAGTGTTGGCCTTCTTTATTGCAGTCACACACTGTCTCGACATTTTCAGTGAGTTATCCACTACGACGCCAAGATCTCTCTCTTGGTCAGTCTCTGCCAGTTTGGACCCCATCGACATGTATTTATAATTAGGATTTTTGGCTCCAATGTGCATTGCTTTGCACTTGCCCATGCTGAACCTCATTTGCCACCTTAACACCCATTCACCCAGCCTCAACAGATCCCTCTGGTGCACCTCACAGTACTCCCTGGCTCTCAAAACCCTGAACAACTTAAGTGTCACCTGCAAACTTAGCCACTTCATAGCTTACTCCAACTCCAGATCATTAACAAACAAGTTAAAAGGCACCAGACCGAGTACCGAGCCCTGCGGTACCCCACTGCTTACCACCTTCCACTGTGAAAACTGCCCATTTAGACTCGCTCTCTCTGTTTCCAGTTAATTAGCCAGTTTTTAATCCACAAGAGGACTGGTCCTCTCACCCCATGACTACTGAGTTTCCTTAGGAGTCTTTGATCAGGAACATTAAACAACGTCCACGGGGTCACCCTTGTCCACATGTTTGTTCACCCCCTCAAAGAACTTTTAACAGGTTAGTGAGACAAGATCTTCCCTCATAGAATCCATGCTGATTCTTCCTCAACAGCTTTTGTTCATCAATGTGCCTACTAATTCGCACAGGTACCGCAGGGCTAACAGATTCCACCAACTTACCTGGTATCGATGTTAGACTGACTGGCCCGTAATTTCCCAGATCTCCCTTGGAAGCTTTTTTAAAAATAGGGGTTGCATTAGCCACCTTCCAGTCCTCAGGAACGAAGGCAGATTTTAATGATAGAGTGCATATTTTTGTCAGGAGAGCCTCAAGTTCACATGTGAGTTCTTTCAGAACTCTTGGATGCATCCCACTTGGGCCTGGTGAGTTGTCATTTTTTAAATTTGTCCATCAGTCAAAGGACCTCTCTCCTCACCTCAATCTGACTCAGGTCTTTTGACACCCCTCTCAAAATCAGCAGTTCTGGAGTGGGCAAGCACCTCCCTTCTTCCACAGTAAAGACAGAGGCAAAAAATGTGTCCAACTTCTCATCTTTTAGCAATCCTATCACTCCCGTGGTCATCCAAGGGCCACACTGCCTTAGGGTTGCCAGCCTCCAGGTGGGGCCTGGGGATCTCCCGCTTTTACCACTGATCTCCAGGTGACAGAGATCAGCTCCCCTGGAGAAAATGGCTGCTTTGAAGGGGAGACTCCATGGCACTGTACCAGGCTGAGGCCCCTCCCCTCCCCAAACCCCTCCCTCTCCTGGCTCCACCCCCAGGTATTTTCCAAACCAGATTTGGCAACCCTACACTGCCTCCCTGGCTGGTTTCCTGCGACTGATGTATTTGAAGATTTTTTTTTATTGTTGGTGTGGAGAAACGCCATTTTATGCCTATGTTTAAGTTGGTGTGGGCCAGATAGGAGGGGACCATCAAACCTGAGGTAGGCCTTGGCCTAGCCTCCTCCTCATTCCCCCCCCTCCTGTCTCCAACCAGCAGTCAGAGGGCAGCTCCCTAGAGAGGACAGGAAGTCCATCAAGGCTGTGAGGAGATCTGCCCCAGAATGCTGCAGGAGGGAGAGCCACTTCCTGGGCGGGAAGGGCTGTTTGATATAGTGGAGCTTTGGGGCGGGAAGCCAGTCTGTGAAAATTGAGGTCGCCAGCAGGGCTCTTTTTGTAGAAAAAGCCCAGCAGGAACTCATTAGCATAATAGTCCACACCCCTGACAGCACAGCTCATCAGCACATTAGGCCGCACCCCCATGTTACCAGAAGTGTGGTCATCCAGCCACATCCACCTTTTGCTTCTTATTCTGTTCACCTTGTTTGTTGTCCAAACCCAGGGCCTTTTTTTGTAGCAGGGACTCCTTTGCATGTTAGGCCATACACCCCTAATGTAGCCAATCCTAATGAGTTTCCGCTGTTGGGTGTGGCCTGTTATGCTAATGAGTGCCTGCTGGGCGTGGCCAACTCGGGATCCAGCTGGAACTCCGTTCCTGTGCGTTCCTGCCCAAAAAGAGCCCTGGAGGTCGGTCTGCCTGAAGTCCAGAGCCAGTCAGGCTGTCGGCCGGAGTCTGCAGGAGGAGGCAGAGAGGCCATGTTGGGAGTGGTGCTAATCTAGCCTCCTCCATTGAAAGCAAGTCATGTGCCTGCCCTGCAGACCATCTAGACAGGGTATGTGTAGAGAAGGGAGAGATGGAGCGATTTATTATCCACCTTTATTTTGATTCTTCAGTTCACTGTTAATATGCCTGTATATAGTTGAGTATAGACCACCAGACCACCTCACATGTCTCTTGAGAAACCTGTATAAGGGCCAAGAAGCAACAGTTAGAACCGGATATGGAACAACTGATTGGTTTAGCATAGGAAAAGGAGTACGACAAGGATGTATATTGTCACCTTGCTTATTTAATATATATGCAGAGTACATCATGCGAAATGCTGACCTGGATGAATCACAAGCGGGAATTAAGATTGCTGGGGAAAAGATCAACAACCTCAGATATGCAGACGATACCACTCTAATGGCAGAAAGTGAAGAGGACCTAAAGAGCCTCTTGCTCAGAGTAAAAGAGGAGAGCGCAAAAGTGGGCTTGAAGCTCAACATCAAAAAAACTAAGATCATGGCATCCGGCCCCATCACTCCTTGGCAAATAGAAGGGGAAGTCGTGGAAGTAGTGACAGACTTCACGTTCCTGGGATCCCAGATCACCACAGACTGTGACTGCAGCCATGAAATTAAAAGACGCCTGCTACTTGGGAGGAAAGCGATGGCGAACCTAAACAGCATGATAAAAAGTAGAGACATCACCCTGCCAACAAAAATACGCATGGTCCAAGCAATGGTATTCCCAGTAGTCATGTATGGCTGCGAGAGCTGGACTATAAGGAAGGCCGAGCGCCGAAGAATAGATTCTTTTGAACTATGGTGCTGGAGAAGACTCTTGAGAGTCCCTTGGACTGCAAGAAGAACAAATCAGTCAATCCTCAAAGAAATCAACCCTGACTGTTCCCTGGAAGGCCAGATAATGAAACTGAAGCTCAAATACTTTGGCCACCAAATGAGAAGGGAGCACTCACTGGAGGAGAAGACCCTGATGCTTGGAAAGATTGAAGGTCAAAGAAGACGGGGACGGCAAAGGATGAGATAGTTAGACAGTGTCAAAGATGCAATGAACATGAAATTGAGCCAACTTCAGAGGACGGCGGAAGACAGGAAGGCCTGGCGGGAGCTGGTCCATGGGGTCGCGAAGAGTCGGACTCGACTGTGCGACTGAACAACAACAAATATAGTTGAGTGATTTCAAAATAAATTCTTTTACTGTTGACCCTGAGAAGTCCCTCTGCACCGCCTAGTTCCCCCAGCCGCTTGGACATGCTAAGAGTGGGTTGGGGACTCCCTGAGGAGAACACGGGCAAAACGGTCAATTGCCAACTCTCCAGGGGAGCCCCGAAGATGACCAGGAAGCCCCGAGGTGGGTTCCTAGCAACAGCAGAGGGAGGTTAGGAGGCTGTTCCGCCTAACCAGAGCCCAAGACAGGGACAGTGGTGGCAGCAATACCCGGAGGCAGTGGTGAAAAACTGCCCCTTCAGGTGCCAGGTCAGGCAAAGGAGGGGTGGGCAGAGCGGGGTCTGCCAGCGGACGCGGGCCCGTTCCGCCACAGTTGGCCTTGATGTTTTTTGCAGTATGTTTCTCGTGGTCTCTTTTTTGCCTGTCTGATCACCGACTTGCATTTTATTTGCCACAGCCTGTGCTCCCTTTTATTTACCTCACTCGGGTTGCAGTCACACGTGCCCAAAAAAACAGGGGGGAAGCAAGGCTATTTCTTCTGGAGGAATCTGACCCACAGTCCCTTTGAAGCTGTGGGTGCAGTCTGTCACTGTGTGATCAGACGCAACTGCGGGCAAGTCGGAGGGGGGGGGTTGTGCCGTTTTCCCCCCATGCGCTTAAACGGGGGATCAATGAATCCTACCTCCACACTGAGGGCTCCCTATGGAGTTTGCGAATATGCGCATACAGCGAAGGGGGGGGGAAACAAGGGCACGGAGTTAGGATGGCCTGATCAGACCCTCCCGACGCCATGAGAGCACGCTGGAGCAACCAGACACGGGAAAGTCCGTCCGTGGCCCATCACGACCCACTTACTAAAGGGCAGAACGGGTTGCAGACGGCTGCAGGGCACATCCCAGATGTTGTTGTCTGATTGCGCCCTTTGAATCCGCCCGGCATTTGCACCTGTTGGGTCTAATTACATATATGATCACAGCCTCAGACTAGCTTTCCACCGCTTAAAGGAATCTTTGGCCCCGGTCACACGGGCCGGATATCATGGGGGGGGGAGGCGTGGCTAATTGCCCTGGCGCAGTTTGATCCACGATTACGCGATCAGACATGCCGGTAGCACACCGCGGGTCCTGCCCTCGGCGCCAGCGGGTAAACGAGGGACTGGAGGGGAATGCCGCACGCCGGCGAGATCACACCACGGGAGTCTGGAGGCAGCCCGTGGCAAACGTTTACTAGTACCTTGGAGGTTCTACTTTTTTAACTTGCATTGTCGGCGGTAAGCCACGGGTGCGCTCCACTTCACAGATGTTGGGGTGTGATCGCACCCGGATAATCCGCCCACCATCTGTGCCTCTCCCGCGGCAACTTTGCCGTGTGACCGGAGGGCCTTTCTTACCTTTTACAGCTTCCATTACTTTGTTTGTTAACCATGCAGGCTTTTTTCTATACCTATTTGTGCCTTTCCTAACCTGTGGTATACATTTTATCTGAGCTTCTAGGATTGTCATATTAGATGGTCTCCAAGCTTCCTGAAGGGATTTTGACCCTCTTGTCCTTTCAGTTTTCTTCTTCACAGACCCCCTAATCTGAGAGAAGTTACCCCTTCTAAATCTAAAAGTGGTTGTGTTGGTCTTTTTGCCCAGGGGAACTGATCTCTGTAGTCTGGAGAGGAGGTGTCATTCTGGAAGTTCTCCAGGTCCTGTCTGGAGGCTGGTAACTCTACAGAGCCCACTTCGTCAGGCAGGTATATGAAGAAAAGGCCAACCCACCCTTAGAGGCCCACTGAACGCTGAGGGGCAGACACCGCACAGCCCTGAGCAAGCGGGTGCCTGGCAGCACAAAAGGCTCCATTTGCAGGGATTTTATAGCCAGAATAAAACTTTGTGGGTGGGGGGAATGGCACAGTAGTGAGGGGGTGACAGAGGCACCCCTTTGCCTCCCCCCTTCCCATATTGCAGAGCCAGCCGGGCATGCAACTTCGGAGTCCTGTGGCTGTTTTTACCCCCGAAGGCAGGGGCGAGGGCCTGATTCGGATGGGTGCCAGAGGCCAGGCACTTTTGCTCTCTCCTGGTCCCTGGTCTGTCTGCGGTCAGCTCCCCTCTGGGAATAACATAGGCGAAGGTCCGAGGTGAAGCGCTCCCTTGGGGTGCCTTTCTTACGGAGAATTCAGCTGCCAAATAAGCAAGGACGTCAGCCAGTGTTCCCTCTAAGCTGGGTTAGTGTGAGGTAGCTCACAGTTTCTTAGCCTCCAGCTCACAGATTTTTGTCTCGGCTCAGGAAGGAGGGCCCCAGAGCAAACTGATTTATGCAGCAGCCCAGTCGCTCGCTCACAGCTTTAATGCCACAGTAGCTCACAGAGCAGAGTTTTTGCTCACAAGACTCCACCGCTTAGAGGGAGCACTGGATGTCACCAATTCCCCGCATGCCCAGACTTTGGCCTTCCGGTTATTTTGCAGAGAGCAGTGATCCACTCACGCAGGGGGCAGGATCCTATCCAAATGGGTCTGGTCCACCCCAGCCTTAGTGCTGCAAAGATTTCTGTCAATCCTGCTTTTGCTATGTGGACAGCAGAACCAAAATATTAAGAGATTCAAACCTGTGCTTATTATGTCTTCAGTATTATTTATTCTATTGTTTATTGAGCCCAGCCAGAGCGTCACAGCTGGCCCCCTGCCGGGAGGGCCCGCCAGAAGCTTCAGGGCCTGGTTCGTTCCCTCCTGGCTCCTCACAGGAGGAGTGATGGACGCAGCAACCCAGGAGTCCAGGTTGCCCTCATCACACACAAAGCAGCCCCTCAGTCTCCTTAGCCTTTGTCCGAGAGGCCTCCCTCCCTTTTCTCCTTGCAACAGCAGCCCTGCAGGGTAGGGCATTAACCCAGCCGAGAGGGAACACTGCTTGCCAGCCTCTTGGTCCGGGTCTCTCTGCCGTGCGGAGCCCACTTGTCACGCCAGGAGGCTGGCAAGCAGTGTTCCCTCTCAGCTGGGTTAGTGCGAGCTAGCTGACAGTTTTTCAGCCTCCGGCTCACACACTTTTGTCTCAGCCCAGGAAGGAGGGCTCCGGAGCAAACTAATTGAAGCAGCAGCCAAATTGCTGGCTCACAGCTTTAATGCCAGTGGCTCACAGAGTAGAATTTTTGCTCACAAGACTCCACAGCTTAGAGGGAGCACTGTTCATGGGCAGCGTCCCCTCTAAGCTGAGTTCGTGTGAGCCAGCTCAGTTTTCCAGCCTCCGGCTCACACATTTTCGTCTTAACACAGGAAGGGAGGGCTCCGGAGCAAACTAATTGGTGCAGCAGCCGAATCGCCTTGCTCCTGAGCAGTGTTCCCTCTAAGCTGAGTAGTGAGTGCGAGGGGGCTAAATGCATGCAGCAGCCCAACCGCTCGCGCCCAACTCTCATGCCAGGAGCTCACAGAGCAGCATTCCT